GGGGGGGGGGGGGGGGGGGGGGGGGGGGGGGGGGGGGGGGGGGGGGGGGGGGGGGGGGGGGGGGGGGGGGGGGGGGGGGGGGGGGGGGGGGGGGTGAACCGCTTGGAGATTCACACTCGCACGTGTGGGTCATGTGTAGGAAAGTTCTACACATCCATAGTTAGTCTGGAATGGAGGTCACTCCTAGTATGAGATAGAGATGAGTCCCTAGAGCATATTTGCATGTGTTTGCATTCAGTATGACCCCCTATAGTGGGGTCACTTACTGAGTATTCTTTGAAATACTCAGACAGTGTGTCACATCATTTTTCAGGTAAAGGTAAGGTGCCCATATACGAATGACGGAGGTTTCGCGAGCAGATACCATGACATGTGCATAGGATAGAAACATATTTAATTTTCTAGACTTAGGTTAGAATAGGTTGTCTTGCACTTCATATGTTTTAAATTATTTTGTATTTGTTTTATTTGCATTTTTCATTGTTATGTGTTGAACATGTAAGACCATGGTAGTGTTTTCAAAGATGTAATTGTTTTAAATTCTCGAGATTTTTCTATAAATTATGTTCATATTCCACATATAAGTTGAGTATGAGATGTTAGTAATGATTCTAGGTACGTAGAAATTTAGGGTCGTTACAAGAAGTGTTTCGTAGGAGGGAATTCGATACTTACCCCAAATTCTACCCGAAATTGATTTTCTTCAACTGGACACGTTGTTGGGGTTATTTCTCTTCATGGTCTTCTATGGAATTGCTCCTTGAAGGTACATAAACCGATCATCCTTGCTCAATGGATTTTCATGTAGGCTCAGATTCATATTTCAAGCTCAAATTTGAAGTTCTTCCATGACTACCACTACTGGGGGAATAGGTTCTGTGCTCTTTCAGCACTCGATTCTTTCATAAAACTTGTGGGTAATCTTGTTTAGAAGCGTTAGGATCAATTAGAAAGGAAAATGGTAGACAATTACTCTCAAATTTGAAAGAAACTTGAGAGTAGGAGACTCAAAATCTAAACGCTTATTATTGCAAATTGGAAGTCAAAATCTAAACGCTTATTACTTGCAATTGGGAGCTCGACTCAACTCGATTGTTGATCCATATGAATGCCCCAACTTTAGACTTTATAAGGGAAGCATAAATCGATATTGAAACCTCCAGAATCATCGTAATTTGGAGAATGAGTTTTCTGGATTATCCGTCATAAATATCCTCTTAGATCAACAAGCTATTGACTTCTAATTTGAATTCTAGCCGTTGGATGTGGTGAGTTGTGAGTCCTCTAAAACCTACTCAAATTTGGTGAAGATCCAACAATTGGATTTGAATATTTGAAGGATTTTCTGATGACGATACACTGTAGCACATCTGATTTTCTAATACGTGGTATTATTGTAATAAGAGTATTTTGGTAATTTCCCATTTTCGAATATTTTATTATTGATTTTCTAATACGTGGTATTATTGTAATAAGAGTATTTTGATAATTTCCCATTTTCGAATATTTTATTATTATTTTTCTCTAAAAACCCACAAATTTTCTAAACATTCTTCATCTTTGGTGACATTTTTTTCCTTACTTGCCACCTTGAAATTTGTTTTAAATAAGGAATTACTCTCCTTAAAAATTGAAATTTTTTCCTCAGTAAGTGTTACCCTTTACGTACATAATATTCAACTGACATACTTAACACAAATCAGACATACAATTTAATAAATCTCATATTACTCTCATACTTAACACAAATCAGACATACTATTTTATAAATCTCATACTGCTCTCTTACTTTACCGATATTATATTCTACAAATTCTAATTACTACTTCAATAAATCATACACTTTTGAGTACTACTAACAAAAGTACTCTTTCTCTTTCTCTACTATCAAATAATCTTGTGGTCCAGTTTCACCGGGAAGTGGCGCATTAGTTTATCACAACTAATACTAATGAAATCATCCCATGATAGATACTTCGTTCATATGCTAGAGAGCGGTACGTTGACTCTATTTACGCCGTTCTCTAGAAAAGGTAATTCGAACTATAGTTCCTTTTACTCTGATTATATTCTAGAGGAGACTGGATCACCACATGGTTGAGACACCTGCACAAAATTGAACAGACGCTATAATTCTTGCCGGAAGAGTTATATTGTCTTTACCATGGATGAGAATGAGAAGATAAAAGGGATTACCACATGGTTTAGGAGCTTGTTCTTGCTTATCCCTTACTTTTCTTCGATCCTTTGAGACTTACATGAACGACTTAAATCCATTGAAATCAATTACCTTTTACTTTGGGGTATTACAAATATATATTTTTTTTTTTTTAAGGTTTTGTATTTGCAGTTTAATATTTGTTGGGAATAAATTATTTTCCATTATTATATTTTATTTGGGAATATTTAAATTTTATTACTTGAAATCTAATGTGGAGAGCACGTTGGTAATGCTAGGCAGCTATTGTTGACATTTTTAATAGTCTTAACAATTAATGAATATAGATTATTATGAGGAATAATAATAAAAAAAAAAGAATACAAATAATTAACAAAATAAAAATGAATATTTATTTTTGATAGAAATAATAATAAAAAAAAAAAATACTAATACTTAGATTTTGTTTAAATATTTTATATTGGCTCCAACTTAATTTTTTATGTTTTTTTTTTCTAAATTTTCAAATATTTTATTTTAATTTTCGAAAAATTGCATAGAAAATAATTTTATGTCAGGCACTAGATTCGAGATAGATTAATTTTGATTAAATATCAATGGTCAATGACAAACAATTAAAGAGTTAAATAAAATAGAATATTAAAATTTTTATAAACAAAAATAAAATACAATTTTTTTAAAAGTTAGTTTATTTCTTTAATTTTAAATTGGTCCTTTAGAAGTTTTAATTTTTGGTTATATAGAAATTTAAACCATTTATTTGAAGTGTTCGGTTACGTTAGATTTTTTTTTTAATTCAACCCAATTATTTGGATAATAAATTTTTTTAATTCAAATAACTATAATGGTTTGTATTATTTATTCAAAATTTATTTTTGATAAACGTAAAATGTTACTTTATAAAATATTTATTTATTTATTTTCAATATTTAGTTAAAATTTAAAACTCAATATCAATATATATTTTAAATAGTTCAAAATTATTTTTTTAAGGGTTGAAAGAATAAATAATTAAAAAATAATTATGCAATAAAATAAATGAATATATATATATAATTGTATTATAAGAAAAAAAAATATTTTTCTATTTACAGCAAATAGAAAAATAGAAATTAATTAAAAAAAAATCAAATCGTCAAGAGAAAAACCAGCATTAAATCATTGACCTAACTCTACACGAAATGACCATTTTACCCTCGCCATGTTGTGCCCTCCTCCATCCTTCATGTGGCCAATTCAATGCCCCTCACATGGCTTCTGCAAGTGGCATCTCTTCAACCCATCAACCTTCACCGGCGGGCGGCTGTTTCCAGTCAGTATTATCAGAGATTCAGAGGCGATGCGACGTAAATTCATTCGAAACCTCGGTGAAAGCTCGGACGATGATTTCATGGTGATAAGAAGAATTGAGTTGGAGGAAGCAATTGAGAAGCTCTTGACGACCATTGGTAGAGTAAATTCTCTTCTCGATTATCATTTCAAGAATCGATTGTCGAAAATCGTTGTATGGGTTGTTGGAATTCTTTTCGATTGCGATGCTGTTTGGGATGCTGATCGCTACCGGGCTTTGGATTCCGGTGGATCTGGTGGTGGAGCTGCAGTCTTCGTCGTCGAGAGAGAGGCCGCCATTCTGGCGGCTGGAGCTGGAAGAGGAGAATCTGGATTTTGGGTGGTGGCGGTCGGGGTTAAAGAAGGCGGCGGTGCGCTTCTTGTCGGGTTCGACGATATCGGAGAGTTTTGGCTTACCACAGCCACCGCAGCCGGCGGTGGGAGAGAAAATGGATATGGAAAACTTCTTCATGCGATTAGACATCATTTAGGGAGAGAGGAGTTTGGGTCAGGCTTTTCTAGTCGAGAGAGACATGTGGTCAAATTATGGGTCAGGATTGGGATCAAAAAGCCCTTTCAATATTTTAGGTGCAGATTTAGCATCGGCTTAGGTTGATTTATATGTTGAATTTAGTACGAAAGCTTATGCTTTAAGAACAGGCTCAAGCTCCATAACTTAAGGTGGATTAGATCGTACATACTTTTCATATACACAAACGAAAAATTGGAAAATAAATTATCAACTTCAATTGTAAATCATTATTAGGAACATGCCAATGATTATTAGGGTAGGAAATGGTCGGAAATCCAATCATTTATTATTTGAGATTATAGGAAGTGACCTCGAGACAATTGGCACTACGAAAAAACTATAAATTTATACAATTTAATAAACATAATTGCACTCTCCTTTGAACCCTTTTCTATTCTAGAAATAATTAAAAAATAGTAATCTAGAAAGATTTGGATGTTAATTAAATTATAATGGAACTTAGGACTGTTACTATATGATTTTGCCATTTTTTAAACATATCATCACACCGACCCTTCACTCAATATAAGAAATTTCGTTCAAGTATAGTTTTTTTTTTTTTTTTTTTGGAACCAGCAATGATCAATAATGACTCGAGAGTTAAAAACGATAGATCATGTTCTCGACTTATCTCCTTCGTGAATATTTTATTTGCAATTGTCTCGCTCCTTGTTGTGGATTTCTCCATTGCTAGTTCCAGTTTTCTCGCAATTCGACTATTCTGTCTCGACCTTTAATAGTTGTGCCAAAATTCAATCTTTGGTAAGCTTAAATTTTCCTTCAAATTTTCCATTTCATTTCTAATTTGCATGGGCTAGGTTTTATTCGTTTTGCCTAGGTATGAGAATTCAATGTTGTCATGCATTCATTGTTGTTCTATGTATGTCATCATGGCGGAGTAGTCGTCGCACCTCGTTTGCTACTATCAATAATGTTTATAGTCGAGAGCGATGAGGAACAACACTGTTGTAGAAGAATGCTGTGTCTAGGGTTTTGCACAAGATCACATATGTGTTGCACTGAAAGTTGGATTAGTCTATCGAGCTGATTCAATCAAATAAGTTTGGTTCAATTCACTTAGACTAGTTCGGTACGGTTTGGTTCACTCAAAGTGGTTCATTCTTGTTTAGTTGGATCAATTAGGATCTAACCACTTCAATTTGGTTTGAATATTGGTATGCTTCAAACTTTTCTTACTTTGAGCTAGAATTTTCTTAGATAAGACTTATTTAGATATTTATTTTAATTGGGTGGTATGGTTCAAATTACTAGCTTAAAGGAGATTTTAAGAGAGAAGGCTAAGCACATACTCTTAGGAACTAAGGCAAGTGACTTTCTTATTAGATATTTAGTGATTGTTATATTATATACCTTGTTTGTTAGGTCAATTATTGTGATAATTGTTAGTACTTGTGAATGTTATTTTGAAATATTTATGATACCTTTTTCATGCATGAAAACTTGTGATAATTACTCTATCGGTATGCACAAGAATTATATTTAACAACGCTATATAACTTCGTGGCAATTATTCATTTGTGTGCTTGAAATTACATTGGAGTTGTGTGATATAATCTTATGGCAATTACTTATTTGTGTGCATCAAATTTGATTGCTACTTTGTGATTTTAACTTGTGGCAATTACTCGTTATGTCTTGAGTTACGCCCAGGATTAATTTTTCAATTTTTGTTAACACTTCTAATGGACGAAGTTTATTAATGGCTATAGAAGCCGAATTTCAAGATGATATAAAGGATAAAAATTCTTAGAAAAATTCTAATAACTAAAAAAAACAGAGGGAAATAGTGAAAATTAGAAAAAGTGCTCAAAGTCAATCTCGAAGGGGCAAAATGGTCATTTCAACCCCATTCCTAACTAGGGGATTGTAAGAGCCCTAAACTAATTAATAATGAAGGAGAAAAGAAAAAAAAAAAAAAAATAGTTGTGAAGTTAGGGTTTGAGAGAGAGAAATAAAGAAGAAAAAAATAAAAATTTCTCGAACCTACTCGATAGAGTATCTGAATTTGGCCGAAGATTCTTCTCATGAAAAAATATTTTGCACATTTGAATCACTTAAACAAATTAATAATCGATGAAGAGCAATAAAGTTTCAATTTTTAGGAATTAGGTTCTCAAAATTTGATATGTTGCGTTTGGAAAGATTTCAGACAACTTCTACAAAGGAAGCTAAAAGTTAATCAGTTAGAAAGTCGGAGTTCCGATGAACATCAAGAATGGTAAGTTTTACAGTTTTAGATGAGTTTTTTTCTATGTATAGTTAACTAATTAATGCAAATTAATTTGGATGAAAAGATGGATTAAACTCCACAACTTTGGTGAGAGAATGAAGTTGATTCAAGTTACAATCAAGTTGATTTGAGTTACTAAAAAAGATACAAAAATTCAATGAAAATAGAAAAGAATTTAAGAAATTGAGGAAATCTCAAATTCAAATAGGGAGGCCTAAAAGGAGAAGAGAACACGTGTCAAGTAGCGAATAGGACAAAGAAGTAGACACATGTCAGCTAGATGGAGGGGAGACACGTCACTAGAGGTTGAGTTGATAGCCCACCAACGATGTGTCTCGCAGTTTTGTATCTCAGATTGACAAGGTATTGATAGGATTACCTCCCCACCTCATGCTAACTATGAGAACCCGTTAGTTGATTCAATCTTTGTCAATGAATTCGAAAAAAGATATTTATATATAAGTTTGTCAAAATATTAAAATTTGTTATCATGTTTTTTCATTTACAACGGGAGCACAAAGAAATAGTTAGAGAGTCCCAAAAAATACTTGTTTTAAGTAGCAACCTTGGTTCAGAAGAGATGACGAATTTGTTATAGACTTTAGAGGAGAGGTTCAAGCTTAGTAGCAGCACGTAGTTATCAAGATTATATGACTGTGATCTGAGCCGTCCTCAACATTAGACAAGCATGTTCACAAAGTCGAGGTCGGGAACCCTCGTGGTTGGCCAGTGAAGGACAATAGTAATGGAGTCAAGCTATGACCCACTCTTTCATCATCTAAAGAAAGGAGTGACTAGGTGTTGCAATGATAAGAACCTACACTCGTTTAGGTGACCTAGATTATGAAGAGTTGAACTAAAATTCCAAATGCACGATTGCATATGAAATGCTTGTGAAGCAAGCTCGGATAGAAGAGAGCCTCTAGATAACACGATTTAAGAACTACTTCAGTGATGATAGTATTCGTGACTAGCAAGTAAACCAGACTAACATAAGACATAGTATGTCACTAAAGATCCATGGGATGGTCGGAGGCCATTAGGTACTAAATCCAGATTTAAATTATGATTAGAAACCAAGGTACAAGGCGTTACACCAACCCATAGAAAAAGTATAAAAAAACTTAAGAAAGATAGCCACAACACTTGAGCTTACATAGAGGTCTCTACGATCCAGTATAGTAAGAGGTTGATGTGTTTGGATGAGTTAGTGATGAGATATCACTCCTAAAGGAGGCTCGAGATTGGCTTTTTGGCTCTGAATCTCAAATTAATTAATGTTTTGATGATAACAAACCTACTTCCAATTATTAATCATTCTCAGTATTTTGTCCACAGTGTAAGGTTGGGAATAAGATTTCAACGTCTTTTTTGGTTCACTCAAATTAGAGATAAAACGAAGAAGTTTTAGTCAAAACAAGATACTCGACGTGATGATGTGGAGAAAAAATTGACATTGGGAATAAGATTTCAACGTCTTTTTTGGTTCACTCAAATTAGAGATAAAACGAAGAAGTTTCAGTCAAAACAAGATACTCGACGTGATGATGTGGAGGCAAAATTGACATTTGGACCAATCAAATTCAAAACAAGATATCTGACGTGATGATGTAGTGACAAAATTGACATTATGGAGCAGCGGCAAAATTGACATCATACACCAATCGAAGTATAACATTTAGAAATTTGGTAAAGTAACAAAGGGTGGAGTATTCGATTACATTTATAAAAGTTTTCATTACTTTTAAATTAAAAAATGAGTATTTGAATTACAAAATCATTTCAATTACACTTATAATGATTTCAATTAAATTTATAAAACTTTTTTTTTATTATATTATTACATTTCAATATGTTATATATATATAATAATAAAAATGAATTTAAAATGTTTTTAATATTTATTTAAAATAAAATATATTATATATATTTAAATGAAACATGTGGTCTATAATTTTTTACTATAAATTTTAAAAAATAAATATTATTTTTCGTAGTCCACGTTTCGGTTCATGTTTTAGTGGTCCGTATCAATTCCGATTTTTACAACTTGATCGATATTTAAACTCATCATCTCTTCGTATTTTCCAGAACAAAACACACATAACATTTCACAATACACAAGTTCGATAGTTTCCTCTATCTAAACTTTTTTTAAAAGCCTCCATTGTTGCTCTCTCCAAATTTCCAATTTTATTTCTTGTTTATAAGTGAAAGCATCCATTGTTGCTCTCTCCAAGTTTCCAATTTCATTTCTTGTTTATCTTATTCTGAGAGAGATGTCTATTGTAGTGTGAGAAAATTGTACATCTACTCTTTCAAAGAGTTGTGGTGTGTGGTGTGTTTCTATAAAGTTGAGACAGTTGTACCGGTTTGATCCTGAGCCGTAGAAAGGATTGAGTTTGCTCTTGCATTCGTAAAAGAAGCGGTATAGCGGTTGGACTCTGATTCGAGAAAAGAGTTAGAAAGTTTTATTCAAATTCACAAGAGGCGCTTGGCGAGTGGAGTAGGCCTGATACTATAAAACCACTGTGTTATATTCTCTAACCCCTTTTCTATTTAAATTCTAAATTTTAAGTTTTATTAAAAAAAATTTAATAATTACACGGTTGAAATCCTATTCACCCCTCTAGAGTTGTTAGATCTAACAATTGGTATCAGAACCCGTTGTTCTTATTGTTTTTTTTATATAAACTTTATT